GGGGCTCGGCAGCTGCAGGGGCTGTGCACGAGCGGTTCGGGCACTGCTGGCGCAAGGTCTGCAAGTGTTTGTGAAGGGACGTCCCAAACCCCATGTCGGTGGGACTTGGACACCATCCAGCTCCGTCCATCCTGCCTGAGGGCACCTCAGTGGGTCCTGGGACTGCATGAGCCGGAGTCCAGCACCGCCCTCCCTCCCCCCGACGGGAGCAGGTACCTTCTGCCTGCCTGTAGCAGGGGCTCAGGTTCTTCACACCCAGGCAGCAGGGACCAGACATCTGCTCCTCGCACAGGAACCTGCCGGGCGCCGCTGCAGTCGGGAACATTGCTCGCTGGCCCGAGAAGTTCTGAGTCCTCAGGAAGACTTGGAGGAGAGAGCAGAACCAGTTTGAGCGAAGGCTTGGCTTGCTTCCCCCGCATTTTTTTTGGGCGGTATGTCTGCTGGCGAGGGGCCGGGAGCCGGCAGCTCCCTGGCATGCTGCTGGATGCCAACATGCCCCAACTCCAGCCACCAAACCGACTGCCCTCTTCCCTCCCCAGCCCTATGGTCCTGTCTGCAGAAAGCCACTCAACCTCAGCCCACCCCTGAGAAACCCCAGGACAGGAGGGAGGATCGCCAGCTCCGACTGCAAACCGGCATTCTGCTCCTACTCATCGCAGCGCTGAGCGGGAGGGAGGCTCCTCCGTGTCTTTGCGCAGGCAAAGCACAGGAGAGTCCTGCCCACGCAAAGGGCACAGCGAGGTGTTCGTTCTGCCTGAGCAGAGGAACGTCCAGGTCACTGTGTGCTGCAAGAGCAGCAGGGCGGGGGGCAACGCTCCGCACAGCGGGAAGGGGGCTGCATGAACGGCACAGTGAGGAGGGGGCCACGGGCACGCATGAATGGCACAGGGAGGAGGAGAAGCACCGCAGGCATTGACTCACCTCGCTGGCACTGGCTCTTCCAAAACCGCTTGCAGTAGATGATGGAAAGCGCCAGAAGAACCAGCACGATGATGACCAGGGCACTGCTGGTCAGTGCAAGAAGGGCCGTGTCCTGC